GAGGGCGGGGCTTTCTCTGGCGTGGGGCGGGGCAGTGGGGGCCACCTGACGGACGGGGGCGGGACGGGGGTCTCACGTGAAGGGCGGGCGGCTCACGTGACGGCTGAAGTGAGCCGGGACTAGACGTTCCCGGCACCGTCCGGCGCTCCGGGGCAAGGGGATGGTGAGGGGGCCGTCGGGTGCGGGGAGGCGGAGCATCGGGAGGGTGGCAGGGCCTGCTGGGCGATGCCGAGGGATTGAGCGAGCGAGCAAGCTGGCAGGCTAGTGGGCGTCAGCACTTTGTAAACATCGAGTGGGAAGTGTTGGGAAAACGCTCGTGGGGGAAACGAGGGAAGGGCGAACTGGAAGCAAACGGAGTGCTGGGGTGGCCGGAGTGCAGCCTGGGGAGCGGCGTGCCGGCTTCCTTGTAGCCCTGGCCGGCGGCAGCCTCCAGCCGCAGGTTCACCTGGAAGCCCCACGGAGACTAGAAGAAGTGCCGCGCGTGGACGCGCACGACAGGGAATTCTGCGGACCTTGAACCGATCACCAGTTCTGCGCGGAGCTATAGGTGCCCTGGAGCTCCGGCCGACGGCGTGCACACCCCAGATCTGGGGACCAAAGCCGCAGCGAGGTTCGCTATCCACCGTGGGGCCTGCCGAAGCAGTCGCTGTGGGCCGGGGTGTCCTTGTCTAAAGTCTGGGTGCAGCGTTTGCAGAGTGGCAGCGGACAGCCGGAAGTGGCAGGCGTTGAAGGGCTTGGGTGGTGATCATGTGAAGGCTACTGGAATGAGGCTCAACAAAGAGACCTGCCATTAACCTCTGCTTCGCCCTCTGGACTTCGAATCTCAAAAGTGTCTTGACTGAAAACCTCCTTCTAGCTCTAAAATTTAATGACTTAAATAAAAAAGTATTAGAAATTCAGAAATCACTCATTCATTAACCACTTGTGGATTGTGCCTTTTTTGATGCCTATATGAGATTTCAGTAGTACAGACCAAAAAGAAGAAAAAAAGCCAGAATATGATTCAAGAACCACCTCCTGGAGAGGGCTTTTTTCTGTGCCACAGTGTCTGGCTTCTTTACCACAAGCTGAACTCCCAATTGCTAAGTGATAATGTACCCACTGGGATGTTGGCAAGGTCTTTAACAGCTGTAGTTACAGCCTTTCTTATTAAATCTAATGGGACTAATAATTTAAGAAATCCTCTTAGATGCCCAAGAAGAGAATTTAAAATAAAAACCCCAAGAATGTCTTTGGATTAGATATTCCCTTTGGCTTTCATCGTGTTCTCTCTTCCCCTGGTTTCTTTCATGTTGCCTTTTCCGTGGCCTTGTTCAGCAAATGTAGAGTATATGCCTTTGTTCAGTACAAGCAGTGTTGCTGTATGCTTCTGACACTTCAGCTTGTGCTCTTTCCAAAACCAAAGCCAAGACAGTATGCAAAAATAAGCTGTGCCTTGATAAGAATGTGCGGATAGCCCTCTCCCATGCTCCCCAAACCTGAATTGGGCGCCCTTAGTTTCAAGAAGAGATAGAATAGTTTGCATACACTTGCAAATCTGCTTATGACTCCACTTCCTATTTTGCAACCTAATCTCAGATGATACCACAGTGCCCACGGTACACTGATCACTACCAACAGCAGATGGAGTCAGATAAAAAGAGCTCTCTGGCTGGCATGTTGTTTGAATAGGACCTGATGGAGAGGGATGAAATCACAGGCAACACTGCCTCGCCTTAGTTTTTAAATAATTCTTGTAGCATATGTCTAGCTCCTGTTCTGAGAATCTCAACAGATCATTTTCAGGATTTTGACATTTAGCTGGCTTCTTATGAGGCAGCAGAGTTTCAAAGTGTAACTCAAATGTAGGTTCCACAATTTGTTTGTGTATATCCCAAGTGCCTAAAAGACACAGGTTAGATGCACAGAAACTCCAGTTGAATGCTTGCTTTTTTTTTTTTTTTTTTGAAAATGAACTGCATTGCTGAATAAACTTGTCCTACTTTCTTGCTAATTCTTTAATGGGTAACCTCCTTTTCACTGTGTATTTCTAAGTGAAAAGCTTTCGTTATATCTGGCATCACTACTTTGGCTAGTATAATGGGAAACAGGAATTGGCAGTATCCAAATTACAAATACATATGTACTTGGAACCTCCAATTGCATTTCTAGGGATTTATCCCAAACATGTATTTCCATACATAAATGAGACGGTCATGGTGGTGCACACCTTTAAATCTCAGCACTAGGAAGCTGAGGCAGAGGCAGGCAGATCTGTGTGAGATCAAGGCCAGCCTGGTCTACATAGTGAGTTCTTGGCCAGCAGGGACTACAGGGAGACCATACCTGAAAAAGATTTTTTTTTAAACAGACTGGAAGAGATGGCTCACTGTTAAGAGCATTGGCTACTCTTGCAGACAACTCAGGGATTCAGTTCCCAGCCCTTACCTGACAGCTAACAGCTGTCTGTAACTCCAGTTCCAAGGGATCCAACACCCTCTTCTGGCTTCCATGGGCATTGCACAACATGGGTGCACTTACATACATGCAGACAATACACTCATACACATAAAATAAAAATAAATAATAAATT